GCATCTGTTATATAGTGAAGTTTGTTCTTGACCTGTATCCACAACGGGCACCTAATGTGACCAGGATGTCCTGGTCCTCCACCCAGGTTGAGCTAAGGTTCCCTTGGCAGAGGAGCATGCCCACCCACCATGTTGGGCAGCAGCAAGAGACTATTCAAGCGTACTCATCTACAGCCTTCCAAACTGGGTCACCCAAGTGGGGTCAGGACTTATGCTCAAGGGAGCCCTTGGAGAGTTCAGGGAGCTGGTTTTACCAAGTAGCACTCACTGAGGTAAAGACTCATGCACAGGAACACAATGAGGCCAAACCAGGCATTGAAGAACATGCTGAAGTAGATGATGCCAATGATGATGTCAACCAGCGTGGGGATAACGTTAAATACCAGGTAGCTGGGAGGGGAAATCAAGTGACAAAGAAAGGTTTAGGGGCTCGGAGCCAGCAACTCTACATCTAGGAGTTTCAGTGTGGTGTTTTGTTTTCAACAGCAACAGACTGGAATCAAGCTAAATGCCCTTCAAGAGGTGCATGGCTAAATGAAACACGACACGTCCAAACTATAGGATCCTCTGAGTCAGTCATAACCAAGGGGGGAGATCTTCATGTTTGAATGAGAAACATCTCCATAATGTTTTGTTAACAATGCAACTCTGAGGATGACACCTATATCATGATAACATTTGTTTTAGGAAAAACTTGCACGATACCACTTTAGTTCTGGGAGTCTGCACATATACGTGTAAAAATGCAAAGAAGCAGAACTCAACATACTAAATGCAATGGGAACTTCTGGAGAAGTGAAAAGAATTCAAGAGACTTGCTCTCAATCTACTTTAAGTTATTATGAGAGCATATGTAAGTAATAAGTAATCTTATTAGAAAAAGAAAGAGGGCCCAGCCATTGTGGTTCAGTGGCTGAGCACTGAACCAAGAGGTTGCTGATTTGATTCCCGGTCAGGGCACATGCCCAGGTTTCAGGCTGGATCCTCAGTAGGGGGAATGCTGGGGGCAGCCGATGGATGATGTTTCTCACTGATGTTTCTATCTCTCTATCCCTCTCCCTTCCTCTCTCTTAAAAAGTCAATTAAAACATATTNCCTCCACCCAGGTTGAGCTAAGGTTCCCTTGGCAGAGGAGCATGCCCACCCACCATGTTGGGCAGCAGCAAGAGACTATTCAAGCGTACTCATCTACAGCCTTCCAAACTGGGTCACCCAAGTGGGGTCAGGACTTATGCTCAAGGGAGCCCTTGGAGAGTTCAGGGAGCTGGTTTTACCAAGTAGCACTCACTGAGGTAAAGACTCATGCACAGGAACACAATGAGGCCAAACCAGGCATTGAAGAACATGCTGAAGTAGATGATGCCAATGATGATGTCAACCAGCGTGGGGATAACGTTAAATACCAGGTAGCTGGGAGGGGAAATCAAGTGACAAAGAAAGGTTTAGGGGCTCGGAGCCAGCAACTCTACATCTAGGAGTTTCAGTGTGGTGTTTTGTTTTCAACAGCAACAGACTGGAATCAAGCTAAATGCCCTTCAAGAGGTGCATGGCTAAATGAAACACGACACGTCCAAACTATAGGATCCTCTGAGTCAGTCATAACCAAGGGGGGAGATCTTCATGTTTGAATGAGAAACATCTCCATAATGTTTTGTTAACAATGCAACTCTGAGGATGACACCTATATCATGATAACATTTGTTTTAGGAAAAACTTGCACGATACCACTTTAGTTCTGGGAGTCTGCACATATACGTGTAAAAATGCAAAGAAGCAGAACTCAACATACTAAATGCAATGGGAACTTCTGGAGAAGTGAAAAGAATTCAAGAGACTTGCTCTCAATCTACTTTAAGTTATTATGAGAGCATATGTAAGTAATAAGTAATCTTATTAGAAAAAGAAAGAGGGCCCAGCCATTGTGGTTCAGTGGCTGAGCACTGAACCAAGAGGTTGCTGATTTGATTCCCGGTCAGGGCACATGCCCAGGTTTCAGGCTGGATCCTCAGTAGGGGGAATGCTGGGGGCAGCCGATGGATGATGTTTCTCACTGATGTTTCTATCTCTCTATCCCTCTCCCTTCCTCTCTCTTAAAAAGTCAATTAAAACATATTTAAGGAAAAAAAAGAAAGAAAGAAGGTGGAGGGACAGCTCCTCAAGCTGGGTCTGATCTGACAGCCCTTCCATCCCTGCTTTTCCAGCCCCACCCTCCCACACTCCCTTTCTAGGGCTTCGTACCTGAGCAGCCCAGTGACACTGGATGTGCCACGGTCCACAACCCGCAGCACTTCCCCTGTGCGACGCCCCAGGTGCCAGCGCAGTGAGAGTGCGTGAAGGTGGGAGAAGAGGCGCAGCTCTACCTGCCTCGATGTGAACTGCTGCACCTTGATCCACAGGAAGGTGCGAAGGTTGCTCACAAAGCCTGGGGGGAGCCAGGGGAGGCTTCAGTAAGGCTAAGGAGACAATAACATCAGCCCTGCACCCAGATGTGAAAGGTCAGAAAGCCCCAAAGAGCCCAGGGGAGGAATGCCTGTGGGAGGGGACTATTAATAGGGAGGAGGGGGAAAGGCCAGTACCAACCAGGGTGAGAGTCCCTCATACCTGTACTACCAGTGCCACCCCCCTGGAGGAACCTGAGGAAGACGTAGGTGGTAACAGTCCAGGCCAGGGAGTGCCAAGGTGCCTTCTCGGTCAGCAAGTTCACTATGGAGAAAATGAGTCAAAGCCCACTTAAGGCCCATAGGGCACTCTTCAGGAGAGAATGCCCCAGGCACCAGCCATAGCTTCTTTCTGAGCACCCAGCTTTCAACTCTGTTGCACTGCCCTAGGTTAGGGACCCCCAACCACTAGGCCAATGAAGGACCAGAGCGCTGTGCTAGCAGCACTCTTTCTCCCCCTCACCTATGTCCCTATAGAAGATGGGGACTAACACATTCAGTCCCCGGTCCAACACCATGAGCCCCAGGCAGATGAGCACAACAAGCTGCAGAGCTGGACTCCCCCGAGGCCACAGGTAGCTACTTAGTAGGCGGAGCTTCCTGCCAAGGTCTCGCCAGGTAGACCGAGGTGGCCCTTCTGTTGACTGAACCTAGGGTGGTGAACAAAGAAGAGGGAAGCTCAGAAATCATAAAGAAGTGCACTAACCAGATACTTCCTAGAGAAAATGTATGGGATTACAGCTCCCAGGCATCTTGGACCCACAAGTAATCCCTGATGGGGTCACAAAGGCTAACAAGGCACATGAAATTTGGGAAAGAAAGAGTTTATTATGATGGGGAAAAATGATGACAGCAAATGAAATTAAGATGGACCCTAAGGTTCAGAAATTGAGGTGTACCTGGCTCCTCTCTACATCTGGATCTTCTTCATTGACCCGAAATGAGTAGGACTGGGGACGAAGTCCAGGGGCCCAGAGCCCCAGGACAAAAAGCCCTCCAGAGACCACATACCGCAGCACCCACAGGCTAAACTGAACCTAGAATGAAACACATGTGGGGAGAGTATCAAACAGGGCCAAATCCCATGGTTACTACTTGTAATAGGGCTGGGGGCTGGTGTAGGGCTTGCACCCTGGTCCTCCTTAGAGGCCCAGCATCTAAAATAATGGACTGGGGAAAAAAAGCCACAATGACTCAGCACAGACACGCCCCACCAGCTGGCTATCAGCTCCCAGCCAGCACCAGCCCCTCCCTTCTTCCCTTTATTAGAGTCATCCCAAAGCCAGTATAACCAGACTTGACATCTTTCTTACCAACCTCTGCCACCCATGCTTCCCCTTTCCCCGTGAGGTGCCTCACCTGCTGGCCCAAGTCCGCCCTTGCCCACCACCATTGTGGGCTGTTCCAAGATACCAGGGCCAGGTTCTCCACTGCAAACGCCACAGTCCAGAGGAGCAGGAGACCCGGGCTGTGACTGAATTTGATCCAGGCGCCCATTGCTAGCTTCTGCCGTGCCTGGCTCCGTTCCATGAGGAGCAGCCCCAAGCCACAGGCACTGGCCAGAGTCCCCAGTATGGAAGCCAGCAGTAGGTAACCTGGCAGGGGGGCCGCCAGGGCAGTGCCCACTCGACCAACCAGGCCAGCCAGGGGCAAGGCCACCTGAAGTGTGGCCAGAAGCAGCTGCAGCACGTAGGGAGTGACACGAGGGCCAGGCCCCCAAGAGAGCGCATCAGGGACAGCAGGCCGCTCCCCACGCTTGCAGGGAAGGGCCAGCACCAAGGCCAGAGCCCCCAGGGCCATCAACATCGAGGGCATGAGGGTGAAGAAGAAGCAGGGGCTCAGGCCACCGTTCACCCAGGCCGGCCCCGCCGGCCCTTCGGCCTCGCAGTAGTTGCCCACAGTCACCATGGCAGTGCGTGGCCGCAGGCTGAGGCTGCGGGGACTGCGGGACGGGAGAGCAGGACCGGCAGCTCCGGGAGGGGCACCGATGCCCGGGAATCCCGGGTCATGAAGCTGCGGGGGTCACAGTCACGGACGCACGTGGACCCAGCCACACCGCCCACTCGCTTCGCGCACGCGCAGCCGCCACGCACTCACGCAAGTCACGTAGGCGTCTCCTCCAGTCCGCTGCCGGCTCCCTGCCGCGACCCTCCCGCTAAGCCCGGCCCGCTAGTATGTTCACAGTCCGACCCCAGCAGCTCCTGTTAGCAGCAGCTCCACCCACCGTAACCGCCCAGTCCCTACCCAGGGTCCCCATTGGCCAAATGTCACCGAAGGGGCGGGGGTTAGTGGTGCTCACTGGGAAGGAAAAATAGAAACACGGAGTCAGCTTGGTCACTTGCCCAGAGCGGGAAATCTGACCGCGCCTCCGGAAGACCTTGACCTCCAGGGAGTCTTGGACGGGGAATGGCCCTTCCGCCAAGACAGCTAGCTCAGTTGTCCAACCCACTGCATAGGCCCACTTTCCCACAGGGCCTGTCCCGGTCCCCAGCCACCGGTAGGGGTCACACGCACCCCACTCCGCTTGTTCCCAGAACCCTAGCCACACGCAACACAACTGCGACCTGGTCAAAGTCCCTTCTTTATTAAGGGTAATCAAGCTGTACACAGTCCCCACCACGTTCGGCTGTGAGTTCAGGCAGAGCAATTCACTTCTCACCCTCAGCGGACTGGAGCTGAGTGAGGGGTGGGGCAGAGGGTGAGAGCTGGGTCCCAGCATGCAATGTGGCAGCCCAAAGCCTAGGGCGAAGCCATCCCGCCGCCCCTTTGTCCCCCTCTAGGGGACAGCGGGAGGCAGGCCAGAGCTCTCTTGCTGGGAGGTAGACAGGCCAGGGCACACTCCAACCCTGTCCCTTGTGCAGGTGTGGTAGTGGTGGTGGGGAATGGGGGTACAATAAGCGTAATGGGGGCCAGCAAGGCCTGAGTTTCCCAAGGGCCCATCCAAAAAATTGGACAGGGCAGCAAAAAATTTCCATCCTGCTCCTGTAATTTAGAAACCATCCTTTTTAGTGTCAAAAGAGTGAGAGGAGCTGGGAGCTAGGACCTCTACGCCAATACAAATCAAAAGCTGAACAGAGGGGGAGCAAGCGAACAGAACCACAGCAAGTAGCTCACATGCCAATGATGTGCAGGAAGGGGAGGGGTGAGCAGGCTGCAGCACTGGGAGAGAACCGGGGGTGAGGTAAGGGCCACAGCCTGAGCTGCTCATCTGTTCAGGGTGAGGAGAGGGAGACCACAGAGGCTGAGGGTCCAGGCCCAAGCTCCCCACTCCACGGTTGGCACAGGTTCTCCCTGGTTGGCAGCTTCTGTGGTGGGCAGTCCTCTGGAGAGTTGTAGGGGCAGGTGCAAAGGTGGCAGTACTGGGGCTGGGCTGGGGACCAGTTTCTAGCACCACACTCTGAGCCAAGTGGGTTCTTGGGGATGAGGCTAGAGTCCTGTGTGCCCTGGTTCCTAGGCCCCCAATTTCTCTCCTGGGGCTCTGGCGAGCACAGTATTGGCACCTCCCTTGGCCAGGCACGGATACACAAACACCACACGCGTTGAGCCAGGCAGCACTCAGAGAAGCCCTCCATGGCAAGCGGATGGGATGGCAGGGCAACAGATGCCTCCATCCTGGGGCATAGGGACCCTCCTCAACCTTGTCTATACCTGTGGAGAGAAAAGGGTTGGCAGTAGAGATAGTCTTCAGCTATCTGCTAACCCAACAGATGTCTGAAGATAAAGGAAAAAATCAAGCCCTGGATTTCAGAGCAGGTGAAGGAAGAAAGGGGAGTATATGTCGGAGGGGAGGGTGCAGTATCTTTGCTTGAGAGGCCCACCTTCCTTTGCATGAGAAGCTTTGACCTCAGCCTGGAAGTTGCTACTTCTCACAGTTATCAGGTCCTAGAGCCCTTACCTTGTGCACCTGAGGGGGAAGCTCATCCTCTGAGCCCTCCTCGGGCACGGGCTCTGGGTGCCTTGATGCTGACTGTCCATCTTCAGCCCACCCTCCAAGGGGCAGCCGAGAGAAGTGAGAGGGAGCCCGGGGCACTGTGCCAGGATCTAGAGACACAAATAAACATACTCTTAGAATGAATACAAACAAGAAGGATTCTGGGGCAGCCCTGGGTGGGGGCAGGGAGGGGTTATTCTCCTTGGCCTGGTCCCTCTGACCTCTTTCTTCACCAAGAGGCACAAAAGAACTACCCTTTCCTGAAGGCTGTGTCCTCCTATATGCCACTGGATACCTGTGATGCCCCCGTAGCGTCTCTGGAAGCCCCCTTGCAGGGCAGTGGTCTCAGGTGCTCCAGGCCGGGGTGCAGCACAGGGATAGCTGGCAGAGCGGGGAATAGGTTGCGGGTGCCGGGCGCCCTCTCCCCCCTCTTCAGGGGCACTCTCCCCACTGTCATCACTCTCCTGACGGTGCCACACATGCCGCTCAGGTTCAGCCTGGGCCTGCTGCTTGTGGAGCTGAGAAGTGGGGGGCTCATTAGTTGTGAACAAAAGAATATGTCTGAAACAGCTGCTCCTCACCATGGTATCAGCCAGTTCCCATTTATAGCACCTCATCTAGAATCACTGACCCAGAGTACCTATTGTGTTAATAGTGTATAACATACATACGATGTTTTACAGGTTAAATTCTTAGCAGACACCTGGAATGAGCTGTGCAAAAGTTATAATAGCACTCACTGTACCTAGTCATTTGATTCAAGAACAAACTGTGGATCTAAGTGCCAGGCACTCTTTTAGGTGCTGGGAATATAGCAGGGAAAAACAGACAAACATCCCAGCCCATGTGGGGCTTATATACTCGGGATTGAGGGAGGGCAGAGAAAAGACAATAAACAAAGAAACAAGGAAAAAATACAGTATGTCAGATGGTGCTAAATGCTATGGAGGAAAACAGAGCAGGGAGATTCAGAAAGGTGGGCAAGGGAGGCTTTTACTCAGTGTGGCCAGAGATGGTCTCATGGAAAAGGTAAGAGCAGAGACCTGAGTAAGGAGAAGGAAGGAGCCATCTGAATATCTCAGGGAAAGGGATTCTTAGGAATATCTCAGGAAAGGGGAAACCACAGTGTGTAAAGGCCCTTTATGAGAATAAGCTTGGCTAAATGGATAGTAAGAGGGTATATGTTGGAATGGAAACTGTAGAGCAGGTAAATGGCAGAGCAGGGATTTGAACCTATGTCTTGCTTCTCCATGTCTAAAACTCTCTATTTTCTATTTTTCAACTGCTACCTTGGTTCTATGGCCTTGCCCCTTGCTGCCTACTCACCTGGTGCATATAGAGGGCATGCAGGCTCATCTCAGTGGATGCATATTCTGACAGCACCAGGCTCTGCATCTGTCCTTCCCACACACTGCTCCCAGAGCTGGCTGTCCTGGCATCCATCCTGTCCCTCCCAGCACAAACAGACAGCAGTCATCAACATTTCTGAGACCCACACAAAATGCTATGCCCTCCCATCTTAGCCCACCTCTACTCACCCAGAGCCTGTCATGGTACTGGGAGCTCGGCCCGTGGGAGCCTGACCAGGTTGCAGAGGGGAGAAGGAGCGCAGGGCAGAGGCAACTTCAGCCCTGTGTCTGGAACTCTGCAGATCTCTGGGCAGTGAGGGGCCCCGGCAGGATGAGCCAGCTACCACATTTGCAATAAGGCTCAGTGGCTATGAAAGAAAGGAGTGAGAATTCTCAGGGTAGGAGGGAAGCCTCTGGGGCCCTCAGTATTCTGCACATCAGCGCCCAATGCCACAGACTGAACATAGAGAAGGAAAACCATAGGGTAGGTCCTTCCACCCCATGCATAGTTCTCAACTCCAGCTCTTGGAGTCCACTCTCCCCATCACCTCCCAGTCCCCAGGAACATACCTCAGACTCAGATTGTAAGGACTGGATGGACGTAAAGAGGGCATTTTCAGGGAGTAGACCCCCTTGGGCAAGACCAGCGGCTGCTCCGTCCCGTTGAACCTGCTCTTTGAGGAAACCCAGGAAGGCCGTGCTCTCACGTGGTGGCTGCCAGCCAGGGTTGGTGATGGCAAAGTGCATGAGTGACAACTCTGTTTTCCCATCCTCTGCTTGCTGGTACACTGAGGCTTCGGTCTGACCAGCGGATAGCCACTGCACAATAGAAGCCACAGTGAGAATAGTCCTTTTTGTACCTTTCCTGCTAGTGGGGAAGCTTTGCCCCTGGAGGACAGAGACAGCAATGCACTACTGTATCTTGTCCAGGGGCCCTGGTGCCCACCCCAGGAGTGGCCACATGCTGGGCTAATTGCTTGGCTTGTGGTTTTCTCAAGGGAACTTCTTGGCCAAGGGTGCAAATTTAAGGCTAAAATCCAGCCCAGGCTCCAGTTTATCAAGCAGTGTGTGTCCTGGTACAGGGCTGCCTTTTTGTGATGTGTTGGCTCAGAAGGGGTACCTTTTTGCATTTTGCCAGCACTACCTCTGGTCACCTGCCCCCTCCTCTCCCAGTACCTGGGGATGCCCATGCTGGCGAACATCCATCTGGGCAAAGGAGCAGGTATCTCCAACACCAACAACCTCCACAGTGAAATTGCGAAAGAAGTCTATAATCTCCAGGGCCCGTGGACGCAGGCAGAAGATGAGGATGAGGGGTGTGACAATGGGGCTCAGTAGCTCCTCCAAGATGAACACCTAAAAGGGAAGGGACCAAGGTCATGAGAGCAGGAAGGATCCTAGCCCTCACCACCGAGCTATCAGCCAGTTTCTAGCAGGCCCTAACTCCAACTCCACTCACTGCCTTGTACTGGAAGAGCTGGGCAAACTCGTCCCGGGTCTGCGAGCGGTGGGCATTACCCTGCCAGTGGTCAGGCATGTAGTGGATGTGAGCGAGGATCACGCGGAGCAGCTGCTCAGGGCAGAACACCATGTGCTGGTCCGGGATAAAGGACCTATGGGATCAGGGTTATAGTGAGATGTCACCCTTGCCAGGGAATGCTAGTCAGCTTGCTCCCACCTCCTACCCTGCCCACCTGCACACGGTCACAGTGACCCCCAGGAGTGTGACGGTGGTGAGGACGTGTTCCACAGCTAATACATCTTCATCGTAGATGGTGAGGGCAATTAGCACGGCCAGGATGGAGCCAGCAAAGAAGGCGCCATTCTTGGCCAGCAGTGTCAGCAGAGGTGACAAGAAGCAATTCATGTACTTGGAGGCGGGCTTGTAGCCACGGTTCAGGCGGGACTGCAGCTCATGCTCCAGCTCGTTGAAGTGGCGGAGGTAGCAGCGGCCATAGAGTGACCAGCAACGTGCTCCTAGGGCCCCAGGCTCCCGCTTCAGCACCTCAGCATAGCTGAAGAAGGCATAGAGGATCTGCCAGATGAGGATGAGGGGGCACAGCAGGAAGTTGGCGATGCCAATCCACAGGATGCGATTGCTGAGGCGCTGGGCCAGTTCTAGCCGCTGCCCCCCACGTTTGTACTCAGCCTTGAGGCTCCACTCATTGAGAAACAGAGAGCCAGGTCCCCAGAAGAGGATCAGCTCAAAGTTGTACTTGAGGCCACGGGTGAAGAAGACAGCCTCCCCAAGGCCAGGCAGGCGGAAGCGCAGGGGCAGGAGGGATTTGTTCACCAGTGCCACCATGTAGTTCTGGAAGCGGAGGATACGGTGGTAGATGTCCAGCTCTGTCAGCTCACGCTTGTGGATGCAGATCTGGTGCTCTTTCTGGGTCTGCACAATACGGGCCTGCACTTCCTGCCACGTGCAGTATGGAAGGGCAGACTGTGGGATGGGGAAGAGACAGGTATGGAAGGTGGAATGGTTGCCTTGACCCTTGCCCTGCATTAGCTGTGAGGCTCAGGGGTCCTGTGGTTAGCTGAGTGGAGCCCTTAAGCAGCTGCTCCCTGACCTGCGAATGACAGCTGAGGATGCCTAATGCCCAGGAATGCACCCCACCCATCCCAAGCTACAGAAGACATCTTGGGCTGTGGTGCTAACTGCCCAACTTCCCAGTCTCACCATGGGGATGCGCAGAGCATGCAGGTAGAAAGAGTGGATCTCCCAGTAGCAGCAAATGTTATAGATGAACTTGATAAGCCGGTGAACCCAGAAGACAGCAGCAATAACCAGGATTGTGATGAGGGAGCCATTTTCCTGAATTCTGGTAGGGTCAAATAAGGGAAGAAAGGGTACCCTTAAGGAGTCTTGGCAGACATGCTGCTCTCCTGGAGGATTCAGCAAGGCTAAGCCTGAGTCTGTGTTCTAGGGAATGTGTTACTGCCTCACATTCCACTCCATTCCCCACCTGCAAGCAGGACTACAGGCTCTGATGCCCTCTGACCTGCAGCCCTTACCTGGCATTACAGACTTGGGCAGGCAAAAAGGCATCTGGCAGAGTCACCTTGACGGGCTCGGTAGGGTGAAGACTGTGGTTCACCATCTTGTTGGCAAATAAGATGTCATAGTCCACACAGCTGACCAGAAAGGTGGTGAAAGCAACCACAAAGAGGAACTGCCTGGGGAGTCAGGAAGAGTGGGCGCAGCCCAAGAGTCAGAGAGGCACCAGTGAAATAACATAGGAAAGAGAGGAGTCTGGAAGCACAGAACAAGATTAGAGAGCAACCTCTGGGAAATGGAGGGACTGGAGAATTCCCAGTGGGCTCTCTCTACTGCTCAGCCCCATAAACCAGCTCCTATTTTTTTGCTCTTAGCCTTAGGCCCTATGAAATCAGCCTGCTTTTGCCTCATAGTAATCTCTGCCACTGCTTACTGGACTCTTTTGAAAGTCTTATGATTATTGTCACTGGTTCCTGGTCCCTGATTTCCTTTTGAGATGGTAGTTAGAAACCTTTTGGGGACTTGAACTCTTTTCTTACTGAGAGAGGGCTTCCTAATCCCTTCCTTTTTGGCAAGGCCCTATGGCTCCTTCGTCTTAGAAGGCACTCTGCCCAGCAGCAGACCTAAGGTGCAATCGAGGCAGAAGAGAGACACATTCCTCAAGCAACTGGCTTCTCTGACTGAACCATGCCCATTCCAATGGAGCTCTGATGAAATGATCAAGTCTGAGTTCTCTTCATGGAAGAGAGAGAACTTGGGAAGCTTTCCTTACATGGGAGATAAAAAAGGTGAAGGCTATAAATTTTGGTGCCATATCCAGTCCCTGAAATACAAATGTTTACAGAATTTTGAGCCTAGGACTGAGATGCATTGGCAGGCAGGGCCAGAGGTGAGCTCAAGGAGAGCAAAAACTGAGTTGTAGTCCTTCACCAAATCATCCCTTTTTATACTTACATAAGCTCGAAGATCTCCCCAATGAGCATACAAGTGAAGCCATTCTTCTGGTGTAGATTATAAACGTGTAATTCTTAAGAAAAAGTGGCTGGTAGACACGGCAATTAAGAGCACAGACTTTGGTGTTATAGCTGAGTTTAAGTCCTGGCTCTATGACTTTCTAGTTGTGTAATTTTGGCCAAGTACTTAACCTCTTTAAGCTTTTGTCTCCAGTGGTATATTGGGAATAACAGCACCTGTCTCATCAGATTATTAGGTCTAAGATAATGCAGGTAAAGTATTTAACACAGAGCTGACACAGAATGAGTTAAAAGACATTAATTATTATGGTTATTAGCATCCCATCAAAAAGGAGTGTCACTCTTAGAGAGGTTCTTTATAAATTAACACCATAAAGTAAAAAGCACATAGCTCTTAGTAAATGTGGGGTATCATTACTTACAACATTATTTCTCCAACCTTTTTTAACCTCAAGAGTTCCATCCCCTTTATACGGATTGGAGTCAAACCCACCCCAACTTCCCATCAGGGGTCTGGCTTAGAGAGGGGCTAAAGGTCCCACAGCTCCAATAGACACACAAAGGATATTCGAGAGAAGAAGAGGTCAAGGTTTTCGATGTGGTGCCAAGGTGCTGTGGGCACAGGAGCAGAGATGTCAGAGCCCTGAAGGAAGGTAAGCCCCTTGCTCCCATAGCGTTCTTCCACCAACTCTCCCCCATGCCCCAGCTCTGGCTGTCATGGTCAAGAACTCACACTTGCTCCCCTCAGGGACGTGCACCAACAGGTCCTCCTCTCCTGGGGGTGAATCGCTGTAGGAGGCCTCTAGGCGCTGGTATTCAGTGTCAAACTGCGCCATCACCACCGCCCCCTGTCCACCTTATCCACCTACCAGTAAAGAGAAAGAAGAGACCCAGAGTCAGTTCCCCGTGCTGCTTGTCTGCTGTCCTGCCTACTAGACCAGGAGTGAGAAAGAATCCTTGGTTTCCACTACCAGTCTTCTTGACTCAAAGACAGAGAAGGAGTAGTAATGAAAGGAGAACAGCAAGCTCAGGGCTTGGAAGACCTTAACTGACCAATGAGGTCAGTCATTTCCAGAGCCATTACTAAGTGTCTGCTGAGGCCTTACTGGCCTGAAGCTAGACAATGCCCCTTTGGGGGAGCTGTTTTATCTTCTATTAGTGGAGAGAAGGGGTCCTCTCCCTGCCCTCCTGGAGAAACCTGGTCTCCCAAGGGACTAGCAGTTTGGAAGCACTTTGTAAACAGAGGTTTGAAATAAGCACATGGACTTACCAGCTCCATGGACAAAGTCTTCTGCCCTACAGCCCTTGACGTCCTGGCTCTGCAGCTGCTGGAGAAGAAGGTGTCAGGCCCCAGAGAGTGGGGAGTGGCGACAGAAAAAAAAAACGAATCTTCCCAGGCACCCACCCAACCCCCACTAAGAGGGGGCCAAGCATGGAACAGGGCGGCACCCTTGCAGCCTAGGGTTATGCATTTCCTCTGGTAGTGCTATAGAGGACCACTCATTCAACTCAAGAGGTGGCTTATTGAAGCTGTGAAGACTGAGTCACTACAGGCCTGAGATCAGTAATGCCCTCTGGACTGTCTCTCCATTGCTCCACTTTAGCCTTAGAAATTAGGCCAACAGGTCCACAAAGCCCAAAACCCACGAAGACCTTTTTGGCCAACCCCCTTCCCCTGCTTTTGTAGCACTGAAGGCGCTGCAGGCAGGCATGGCTCCTGGATAGGAGGTCCTGACTGGGTCAGTGTAGATCCAGATCCCGGGCGAACTGTGTGTTCCATAGGTCCACGGAGCCAGGCATGGTCTAGGTGGCACTCACCCAGTCAGTGTAGACCCTGGGGCCCTGTAGCACAGCCCAGCCTGGCTCCGGTGGGATTCCCTGGGTTAGTGAGAGCCCTGGGTCCAAAGGAACTGACCAAACCCTCAGGGAACTCACCACTCACCTGGGCAATGTGGACCCAGGGCCCATGGAACCCCAGCCGGCCGGGCCTAGGCTCAAGGGTTCCCGCGGATGTTGGAGGAAGGAGCCAGTCCGACGGCGGATACCCCAGGTGGGCTGGGTTGCCTCCCCACACCCAGCAGCAGCGACCTGAGCCCAGCGGGCCCCAGGGTGGCCCGTCTCCCGGCCAAGGGCTCGGCTCCCTACAGCGGACAACCTTGCGC